TTTTACGTTATGATTTCAAGCGAATCTGGAGAATCCGGTTATGTCTCATACCCAGTATTGGTCCAGTTCACTGTTAAACTGGCCTGGGCCAGTGTAACCCTAATCCTAACTGACCCGAGACCAAAGTGTGACAGAACAGTTCAGCTCCAGATCGGTTCAGGCACTCACATGGTCCACAGGTGATAGCTGCTCCAAACACAGGAGCTGCGCTTCCTTACAGAAGAAACCTTAGCCAAAGCAGTCTCGGGTTCTTTAAATAAAACCAACATCCCATGAATGAAATTGGATTTGTTGAGAGACTTTTCCTTGAGAGGAAACTTAGTACTAATTTAAAGCTTTTTAAGGGGTAGTTCAGGTCATGCACTGTTCCTTTCTTTATCTCTATAAGAAATAAAGAATAGTACCCTTTCTCTTCGAGAGGGCTTTCCAGAAGAAAACAACGGGTGTGGTTCGTGTGGCTTGTTCCCTGCTGGGATTCGCTGCTTGGCTGTCTGGCACCTCTCTGTCAGGCCCAGTTCACACAGAACCCCTTCCCAACTGTAGTGACTTCCCGCTGTGCCAGCAGGCTGGCCCGGGCCTGGGAGAAGTCAGCGCTGTCCAGTTCCCTCGGAGAGTGTGTAACATGATGTTATAACTGGCCCAATGAGCCCCTCGATTCATGCTTGCCACACCCCGCGGTTGGCCACGGCAGACCCTATGGCTCGTAGAGCCTGAAGCAGATTGAAGGGAACTGCTTGTCCCCGTTTTCCTTCATTTAAAATAACCTCAGGTGGGAGCTAAGGTGAGGATGTGTGCACCTGTTGCACAGGTGGAGGTACTGAGCTCTCCTTTAAAAAATTCATTTCTGTGTTTATTTTGCGTTCTCACACGTTGGTTTATTAGCTTTCAGGTGGGGCTGCTTGCGCAATCGGCTAAAGATTTTAAATTTACAAACACGTAGATTTGATTGCTTGAGTGGAATCCTGAAGACACTGAGTGTGAGTGCAGAATCCTTTCTCGCCAGGTGAATCAGGTACGTTCGTTTCCACCTGCCAGGCTTGATTTGGAGCAGCAGGAGTTCTTCCATTTGCTCCTGAATTGTTCTTCCATAACCAGAGTCAGTGCAGCTGTAACCTACTCTCAATATTCAAGGGGCTGATTTTTCTTTTCGTAGTTTAGGTTTACAAGCAGCCTATCTGTGTTAGTTTCACACTGCCATCCCAGGCCGCTCTAGACTGTGAGAAAGTAGTTTTTCTTCATTGGTGTCGCAGCCAAGCTACCATACTGTTCCAACCCTCTCCTCCTCCTAATGAGTCTGAAATTTAATTTGGAAGGCGATCCAGTTTGTCTGGGGGGGAGTCTGAGCATCGGCAACCCGGCACTTCATTACCTCGCCTTTAATTCGAGTAAAACGCTGATGTACTCTGGTTTCGGTGGAAGCTGTGTAGAAATGGCCTTATAATATTTCCCGTTGCATATGCAGCTGATAGCATCTGGCACAGGCGAGCTCTCGAGGGAGCATGGTAATCTGTTCCATCAGCGTTTACTACTGAACAAATTAACTAAGACAAGCACCACTGCCTGAGCCAGCGAAATTCTTCCATTAGGAAAATTATAAAGCTATTATAGAGTACATTTTGGTCTTTTTATACAAACTGTGCTCCTTGTGAGGCTGCAGGGTTTCTTTTTTTGCTGGGAGGTGGGGAGACGAGACTTTAGCTGCGTGCCTGGATAATCCGGGCACAGAGCAATTGGGATCCTTCCTGTAGCCCCTGACTTTTTGGGCACCTTCGTGCCCTGTTCCCGGAGAGCTCCAGGGCTCTCTACTTTTCATTTCAGTTACCTTTCCCACCCAGTTCGTGACTTCGTTATTCACAAATAAAGTGATCTGTCGCCAGTGACTGAAGACTCCTGCGCAACCTAAGGGTCGGGGTTGTCTGAGGCCAGAGCAGGAGAAGCACAATGCTCTCAAGAATGGCCTGGCTCCACCTCCGAGCCACTGTTACTTAGTCTCATGTTTCAGTCCTCTGGGGATAAACTGCTGCAGAGGCAAGTCAGAATGCTTTCACACTGACTGCCACTGCAGTGAAAAGTGTGCAAGTCTTCAGCAGACTTTTCATCTCAGGAAGTGCATGTTTTTAAAATTGTGATGCATGTCTCTCTGTGATCCTTATCTTGTGTTTGCTGTGGCAGTGCTCCTCACAGCCTGAAACTGTAAGTGACACAGTGGCCATCTACCAAGGGTCATGCCTTGTATCTGGCTCTAGGGTGGTAGCAGTGAGCATTTGTGGGATTGTTGCAGAGTGTGAAGAGAGAAACTCTTGTCTTCATTCTTGTGAAGTTATTCAAACGAAACCACTGTGGCAGGGAGATGGAAGGTGTCTTTAATGTATGTGCACTGTGGGACCTGCCTTGTACTGTAGGGGCGCACAGTGCTGGGCGGGAGGAAAGCTCTACATTCCTGTTGATAAAAATCTAATTATCTCTGTATTCCCATGGACTGACTGTGAGGAGCCCGGAGCTGCGGTGAATAAGGGTTTAGAAGCCTCCTGCTAATCAATTTTAAGTGATTAGCCAATTTTGTTTGCATAATAGGCATAATAGTAGCATCTGTTAATCAGTCTCAAGAGTCTGACTTGACAGGAGCTTAGGGGAAGATTTTTTTTTCTTTTTGAGAGAGAGTAGGAGACTTGTTAATGGCAAGGCAGCATAATTTTGTTACCATCCATAAATCCGCCCATTTTCACTCCGCCAGTCTTTCATCACAAATTTTTCGGTTCTCCAAATGGGTCCCAGGGCCTTGGGCAGGCTGGCTGTGTGTTTGTGGCCTGTGTTAGCCCGTGGCTGTGCTCGTTCTGGGGTGCCCTGACGTGCTCATCAGCGCCCTGCCCTGTAGTCCCCCCGTTTGTCTGTCTGCTGCAGGCAGCGGGAATCACCTGAGTGCATTAATACCCTGCGTCTTGTGCAGATGTGCTTTCTCCTTCCTTGTCAAGGGACTGGAGGATAGGTCAGACGTTTGGGATACATCTGTGGCAGTGTAACTGACGGTGTCTGGAGCAGAGCAGAGCAGTGCTCACACAGTGGGGTGTATCGCGGTGGTGATCTTTAACACAGTGTTCACAACGGAGAGTCAGCTCTGTACGTCTCTTGGCACAGAGGTCAGTCAGAGAACATCCAGGGCTGAGTTTTGGCTGTGCGGCGTCCCGGCTGTCTGGCTCCCTCTGGGGCAGTGTCAGCGTCTGCTCTTTCTCAGTGTAGCACTGCTATACTGTGGGCCGGAGTGGAAGCAGGCGGTGTTGGATGCTCAGCGTGTTTACATTCCCCACAGACAGCTCAGACCTCTCCAGTCCCCAGCAAATACAAGTCTCCTCCTGTTGGTGCTGTAACAGGTGGCAAAATAATTCTTCTTATTTGTGCTCCTAAGATTGCTCCTTATGTGGAGCTGCTGGTCAGTGATAGCTTTGGGCTTGTCTTTTATTCACGTGTCTCCCCAAGGATGTCCATATGACCTCTTTCTCTATTTCCTTCTGGACTGTCAGCTAAGATTTCCTTGAAACCTTGCCATGAATCATCTTTCGCCATTTTGTTCAGTGACAAACATCTTTCTTCCAGATGTCGGTAGAGTTAACTTTAATTTCTTTGGAATTCATTAACATGAGTGTTTGCCAGGCTTCAATCGGACTGATGGTAAACCGAAGTGTGTATTTGAATCCGACATCTCTTTGTTTTCTGGTGATGCATATGTTTAGCTGTTAACTCTTTAATTGGGAGTATACACAGTGGATGCGAATGCCACAGTTAGTCGCTTCAGGCATCAGGTTTTTGATATATGTCAGTAGCTGACATGGCCCAATGAAAGAAGCTGTAATGGCATGACAGCAGTGAGAATGAAGGCGGTGGGAGCTGTGGGTTGTGTCAATGGGTGAGTTAGGCCCCTAGTTGTTGTGTACAGGGCTACAGTCTGCTGAGCAGTGTTGCAGCCTAATTAACTTGATTTGTTCCCTGCATCTGGCTCCCAGATGTCAGCAACTATGCAGAAGCCTGTGCTGCTGCTGCTGTGCTCTATGGGGTCGGGAGCGCAGGCCATTCACTTCTTTCGAGTTGTGGGTACTCTCTGCCTACCCGGGGCCATCTCCCCTTCTCCCACAGCACCGGTGTCTGTCTTGGCGTCTCGCGGGTTTGGGTTCTGAAGTGAGGGCTAACAAATCAAAACAAATGTAAAGCTCCTGTTGCACAGTAGTTGGATCCATTTTGGGGGGGCGGGGGGGGGTGTTATAAACTGCATGTTCTTACACAAGCCGAGTGTGGGTGGCGGATATTTTCAGAGTTGTTTTCGGTACGTTTGCTTAGACGTAAGCATGGAGATAGAATAACATTGATCATATTGCTTCATCAGGAAGTGGATTAGGCTGCCATGCAGTACTTTCCTGCGAAGGAGAAACCCCTTGCCTTTCGTGAAATGACTCATTTTTTCACATGTAAGTCAAAAAATAGACTTGTTTGTTTTTTTCCCTGCGAACAGCTGTTATGTCGTCTAACCCAGAGAATTCTCCACTTAATGTGGTTGAGGCAGGACTGGGAACATTTCCTCTATTTGGGGTTTGCACTTTAACCCTCGGTTTCGCAGACCAATGGGTAGGAAGGGGTGTTTGTTATTGCAGAATGCCTGTTTAATCACAAAATGGGTTTTCTGCCCCAAAACGTGCTATTATGTGAAAAATTATATATTTGTAATTATTATATATGCTTTCTGGATCTTTTGACTTTTTAAATGGTAGCAGTCAGCAAAATGAAAATTGTTTCTGTGCCTTTTTAATCATAAATACTTGATTTCATGTGTCATAAACATACTGTATAAAATTCACTACAGCACCCGAAATGTGAACGCCCATTGTAAGCAATTGCCCCTCCCCCATAGGTCACCAATGATATATTCCTGAATTGTTCTTGTAGCATTTATTTTTACTTTTATTATTAGTGCATTTACCTGTTATTGCAGGGAAGAATCCGGTGTTTCTGATTTTGCCAGCTTACCCCTTGAGAGATTCTGTCCATTGGTGGGTTAAACCAGAGGTTTGCTGTGCTGGCAGCCGAGGACAGGCGCTGCCTGTGAGAAGGAGGTCAGGAAACGGGGCTGAACTGAGACGACTGTCAGATCCCTGCTCAGGGCTGAATGTGCAGGGCCCCCTCCCCCTCAGTCTCGCTCTTTCTCTGGCGCTGTGGCTCGGCGGCGGCGGCACTCAGCACCGAGCCGCGGAGCAGACAGGGCTTCACGCTCGTCTCGCGAGGCCAGGGAGGGGGCCCCCCGCCGAGCCACGTGCAATTACAGGCCTGCCTTGTGCTTCCTTCGCAGAGAGAGCTCGACGCCACCGCCACAGTACTGGCCAACCGACAGGATGAGAGCGAACAGTCCAGGAAAAAGCTCATTGACCAGAGCCGCGAGTTCAAGAAAAACACGCCAGAGGTGAGTCTGTCATTCCAGGCACATGGTGTGTGTGTGTGTGGAGGGGTGGGGCTTATGCAGAACATCAGCGCAAGCTTATCCTAACCATCCACTTCATTAGTTTTACGTCAAACAGATGTTTCAGAGTCCCTCAATGCAGACGTAACAAAATGAGGAATTCTTTTATCCCACATTCAATGAAACTGCTCAATAAAAGAGTTCACAGTAAAGGAGTACTGGTTTATGGGCAAGTGCGATTAGTGGTTATATTCAAAAACGGAGGGGTATTGTGCAATTATGGAGACTAGGGAAGTAAACTTACAGGTTCTGGTAATCTGTGTGGATTTGTGTAGGAGTGGAGCGTAATGACTATGAAGGGGTTCATGTTGTATTTTTGATGTAATGTTTATTTGTTCTATTGTAAGTCTCTGTGTGTGTACAAAAATAGCTGCTTGAACACAACACTGATTTCTGAGAAATCAGACAATAAAGTACTATCGTATTGCAATTGGATCCACTTCTAACTGAGAGCTCGGGAGGTAGAAAACACAGAAGACATTAGTCTCTCCAGGACCTGAGTCTGACAGCCTAAACTCGGAGTACCTGGAGCTGAGACAACTATTGTCAGTTCTCTTGCTGATGTGTTACCCGCTTGTGGGGAATTGTGGGGTTATGGTAACCAGTCACACAGTGGAGGCGGTATTCTCATTGGTGTAGTATTCTAAGGTTTCCATGTCTGATAGTTCATCTGTTTCAACTGTAGGTTATGATTGATAAAACTGGTCATAGAGGTTTAGTGTTGGAGTAGCTAGACCCTCACTTGCACCATCGTGACCAAGCCCTCTGAGTCTGTATTAGTTATTTTTCCACCTTCAGGTTGCTTAGAAAAAGGCAATTGAACTTACAGGCATGCAGTGTGTGGGGAGTTTCCATGTTATTGTGTGGGAAAGAACATGTTTGAAGTCCTAAAATGTGCTATTTCACAATCTCACACCAGTGTGATTCATTTGTTGTTGATCGTCTAACCACAAGGAATGTGCTGTGGTCCAGCTTTGGGGAATCGTGTGGTCACTCTGTCCAGTGCCCTCAGACGACACTTTTTGTTGGCAGCTGTCGCCTGATTTTCTCAAGAAATTATAACCTGCTTTTAAATTCTATCAGTTATACCAGTGCCTTCCATAAGTATTGGGACAGTGAAGTCGAAATTCTTGCCAAATATCAAGCAATTTGGATTTGGGTTGAAAAGATGAATATGAGGCTAATGTACAGAATTTCACCTTTTATTTCTAAGAATTTCTGTGCTTATATGTTGTACCATTTTAGAGTAACATTTTTTGTGTTCAGTCCCCCATCTCAGGTCAATTTGTGGGACAATTTGGCTGCCAGGTGTTTATTACTGGTCAGGAGTTTCCTGTTGTATTGATTGTCACACAAAAAGGCAAAAGATGTGTGTGTAGTGTTGGATTTGGCCTTTTCTCTCCCCTTTGGTGTCTGCCTTGGGAGTCAGCAGGCCTAAACCAACATGAGGAATAGAGACCTGTCTATGAAAGAAAAGCACGCAATTTGGATGCTGAAAGATTCAGTTGCAACTGTAGCACAGAAACTGGGCATAGCAAACCAATAATCTGGATTATTTTGAAAAGGAAAGAAACCACTGGTGTACTTAGCAGTCGGCAATGACAAGGTCTGCTGAGGAACGCAACTGCTGCTGATGGTAGGAAGATTATCAGAGCTGTGAAGACTTACTCTAAAACAACTGTCGCTGACATTTGTAGCAACCTCCACCGTGCAGGGGTGAAGGTATCGCAATGTTACAGATTACAGATTTGACAGAGATGAGTCAGATGAGTTCTGGAACAAAGTGTAATGGACAGATGAGACAGGTAGACCTGTACCAAAGTGATGGCGAAGTGAAAGTGTGGAGAAAGGAATAAAGTACAGACAATGCAGAGCACCACTTGATCTGTGAAACATGGCGGGGTAGGTTCATGGCTTGGGCATGCATGGCTATCCCTGGAACTGGCTCACTCATCTTTATGGATGATTTAACTCATGGCTGTGGCAGCAGAATGGCTTCAGAAGTGCACAGAAACATCTTGTCTGCCTGTGTTACAAGAAAATGCCTCCAGAGTCAGTGGCTGGGGCTTCATCATGCAGCAAGACTGACTGCCAGCGCAACCAAGGAGTTCATCAGGGGGGAAAAAAGTGGAAAGTCTTAGACTGGCCAAGTCGATCTTGTGATTTAAATCCTATTGAACATGCATTTCAGAGACTCCACAAACAGCAACTGAAAATAGCAGCAGCACAGGCTTGGCACAGTATCTCAAAATAACAATACAAGCTTAGTGATGACAGTGGATTGCAGGCTTGATGCAGTTATTGTGTGCAAAGGATTTGCAAACAAATACTGTTTTGTACAACTTTAATTTACTTTGTTAATTTGTCCCAATACTTAAGCTTACCTTAAATGGTGGGATGGAACACACAAAGCAGTATTATTCTAAATGTTAAAGTGTATATGCGCAATGATACACAGAAATAAAAGGTGACCTCCTGTACTTTTTCTTCATATTCATCTTTTCATCTCAAACCCTAATTGTTTGAGTATACTGCAAAAACATCCATTTTGCCTTCTCTGTCCCAGTACTTATGGAGGGCACTGCATTACTTTGCTGCAATACTCTTACAAGATCTGGTCAAAAGAAAATGAGTATTAAGAAGGACTCTGGCTGCACCTGATTTAGAAGAAACTGACATCATTTCCTGGTTGCTTTTCACACGTCAACAGAGGTTTAAAAGATATTTTTATGCTGTTCTGTAGCTCTCTGATTTTGTAGAGACTTCACTGCTGCTATGCATGGCTGCATTTAAGTTTGTTAAAACTGAGACCACAAAAAGAGGACCATTCTTCCTTCTGAGAAGAGAAACCAAAACCCTGTGTGTGAAGCAAAAAAAAAAAACTGAAAAAAAGTTCAGGGCAAAGGGAAAATATTAATTTAAAGTCACTTTTTAATATTTAAAAATCGTCAGCTTTAATGTTTTTAGAATTTAGAATGGTTAAATCGAGGTGCCTACACTTAACTCTCATCTACAAACCTAAATAGCAAAAACGGCGTCGTGTTAATTAAAGAAAAGGCATCTGAAAGCGAGAGTAAAAGAGCAGAGAAGTATATAAATATCTTACATTAGTGTCTGTAACTGCTTTTATTTGGGAGTTACACCCCCTGGCTGGAAGTTTGTGTGCAATTCCATTGTAACTTTCAGGAATGCCTTTCTACCTGCCAGAACTACCTGGAATTTGATCATGGTTTTACCCTACCTCTCTGTGACCTACTGTGTATTTCTCTATCTTTTACTGTGGTGAGCCACAGCAGACATTATCAAGGGAAACACTATGAAAATAGGTTTATAGAATAATTTGGAGATTGTCAAGTTAATTGAGATAGTTGTAAAAAGTATGTAAAATTGCATTAGTGTCTTGCAGTGTAATACAGTTGCAGGCACATTAGATTACAAAGGTATGATTTCTTAAGTTCTACATTCAGCCTTGACAGAAATACAATAGTAGCATGGATGAAGAAAGCTCTCTGGTGCCAGTGCCCCTCTAGTTGGGCAGTGCTGCTCTGATCTACTTTAGCAGGAGAGATATGATGATGGTGACCTAATAGCTTCAGAACTGTTCCTCTGTATTTACTGCGTGGGAAGATAAAGACATTAAAAGTGTGTTGACTCATCAAAGTCAGGTTGTTAAGTGCTGAGGCCAGCTGTTGACACTTGTGTTCAAGCTGGGCTCATTGTCATATCCCAGCTGGTCAGAAAAAAAAGAGATCAAGTCTTAGCTGTGCAGTTTGAACAGTCCAGGCTAGCAGCATCCTCTCAAATTGCAAGGTCAACATGCCTACTGCTAATTTTTGACTGATTGCCCAGGGCAAATCTCAACAGCAGAAAAGCTGTAGCAAGAGCAGAGTCACACAGAAGAGAAATGACTGGAGAGTGAGGCTGGAATGGGGGTGGGGGTTCAACTTCCTCTTGCTCGATCATGTGGCAGTGTAATGGCGAAGTTCTAATAATTCAAGAGCCGGGAAATATCAGGTACTTATCATGACAAATACAGTTTAATCAGGATTAGACAGGGCTCTAAAGTGTGCAGTTGTGTAATGGACTGGAATGATGGGTGTGAGATTAAGCAAATGGATGGAGTGGGAAGCGGGGGGGGTGGAAGGAGTTGTTTTTGGACCAGCAGCATTCCAGAATAGATTAAAGCAAGCCTTGCTTGCCCTCAGTTTGTTTTTAACTCCTCCTTTCTCGGCATTATTAGTTATAATCCTGTGGTGTGAAGGGGAAAAAAGTTAAAGTGAGTCACTTGTTTGTCTTTACATTAGGTTACAGTCAGTATCTGTGCAGCAGAGCTCCAGTTAAGGCTGTTTCAGGGTGGAGCACAGGGGTTAGGTGGTAGTGTGGTCTGGTGGAATGGACAGGGAGACAGTCTTCCTAGTTAGCGATCAGACAAGACTGTTTGCCTTGTAGGCTGATCTGTGTGGTTAGTGTTCTAATCCTTGAAGCTGGGCTCTTGCAAGGCATTGTGGCCTGTGTAGAAGCTAAAAGTGAAGCTATTTGAAACCATAAGAGTATAAAGCTTACAAATGAGAGCCCCTTCTACCCTAACCTGGAGAAGAGCCTTAGGGACACTTTGTTACTGTTGCGAATGGGATCTCAAACTCTCAATGAATGGCTGAATGTGTTCGTACTGTTCAAACTTCTGACTCGGGTTTGAAAGATTTGAGCTTGGGAACTGATGTCACATTTTGACCTGAAGCTGTCGCAGTGCCAAAGCCATTGTAAGACAGGATATATTTTATTTCTATGTCTAGTAATACGCTTCATAACTAAGTAAAATTATTAATCAATTTTGATCTGCTCACACTATTGAAGAATTAAAAAAAACAGTCCTATACATTGCACACAATCCTTTAAGCAAAGAGCACTGTTTAAACAGACTCTATTTGTGAATATGGCAGGAT